TTGAAGCATATGGCAAGGTTTACATCTGTTTAAAGGTAACTGGTGCCTTGTTTTTGTCCCTCCCTGTTTCTAGTGCATGGTAATTCTCTGATTATGAGATATTTTTTTGTAATTTTAGATACTTCAAGCTTGTACTGCATCATCTCTGCCAGATGCGCCCTGCTTGATTGGAACCTGTCTTGCCCAGATGTCCATGGTTAAGAGTGGAAACGCTGCCTTAGGATTTAAAGTTCTGCGGCAGGCACAAAAGAGTCTTCCTATCGATGTCTTCACTTCTTTTGAATCTGGAGTTCTCACTGAGATGCACACTCTCACTCTTTCTCAAGCCTCTGGCGGATACCTTAAAAACATGGCCGAGACAAAGTCGGCGTCTTGTGTGGAATCTGGGGATGTTCCTGCAACTGATGGGGCCCCCGTACTTCTGATAGAACTCCTTCACCTTATTATGTCATGCATCACGGAACTGTATAAGACGGATTCCGACCAAATCTGCGTGCCGCCGCCGATGCCGGTGCTGGATTTATGCCTCCTCGCAGATGCTGTTTTCAAAGTGCAGGCAGAATGTACAAATACTTGTCAAGCGTTGCCAGACTCTAGCTCGGATTCATCGGCCAAGAAGCTCCCCAAAATAAATGGCTGGCACTGCATTTTGGACGCTTTCTTGGGCAGACTCATGCAGTCCCTGCCTTACTTTAGTGTTCTAATCCAATCTTCCGGGGAGTGTATTCCTCCTTGTACCTGGACCTCTACTCAGGCTTTTTCTGACAAGCTTCTTCGAGAGAATGATACGACTGACGAGACCTACCCCTACTCAGCACCTTTATTCGCGCGTCTCGTCAACAGGGTTCTCTTCCGTGTCAAGAAAATGCTTGTAGACAATAATTTCCCGGCTGCGTGGCTCCGATCGACAGCCCTTGATCTCCTCTTAGCAGCAGTCCCAGCAGTGTTGTCAGTACCTTACGCTAATAATGTCAGCGAGTTGCCAGAATGCTCTAGTGCCTCCGACGGAGACGACGTTTCAATTGAAGGTCTTAATCCCGCTGAAGATTCCGAAGTGATCAATGCTTTCAAGTCTTTCTTGAAAAGTTCCGGTCAGGTGGACGACTCAATGCAAGCAGATGGTTAGCTGATTTCTGAGTCTGCAAGTCACCAAACTGAGTATAATCAGCTTGCCAGATAGTTGTGGCAAAACAGCATTTATACCTTTTGCAGTTTCCTGTTAATTAACCTCCCACCTGCCCGTGACTGTGGAGGAGCTCTGTCACTACTAATGCTTTCATACTGCCTCACAGGTGATCGTATTTTTTATTTCTAGCATTATTCGCGCATTGATCCTGTTTATAACGTTTTGTTATTTACCGTTATGATAAGCTAACATAAAATGTCAATAATAAAACTTCAAAAATTGCTTCTTCCCGATCTTGTGTGACGAGTGTCTCTTCATCATCCTGTACACTTAGCACTATAGTTGCTTGTATTTAGTTCGCTCAAGTGTGTAAGGTTTGCGTTTATCTGACATGAAGGACATCGTCGGGACTTGTGGACGGTTAAAGTGGTTACCCGTCGACCGCCTTCTTAGAGTCTGGACAAATAAATGGGTCTCCGTTGCGCGTTCGCAAATGGTGTATTTGATTTGTCTGTGTTTTTGTCGTATAAGGATCGGCAAGGTGGTCTCTGTGTTCGATTAACTGTTGTCTGAGTATATAAATATTAAAGTACATTACATTCCCCTCCCATTGTTTGCTGGCCGTCAGTAAATTTAACAACTCGAGGAGTGTGGCAGTATCTCAAACTTCGACGTTTCCGATTCATTAGCCCTGTTCTCTCCAACCGTAAGCAAGGGCAAGTCTGTTCGTCGCTAAAAATATATGATGGTGAACGCTATCAGTATGTGTCAGATGAGCGGTGGTTTTGTTGGCTGGGATTCGGTTTTCTCTGCAAATATATTCTGTATCGCACTGTTCGAATGGATTATCGAATAGGCAATACTGTTTACTCTTTGACTGGGGGTGAAAACATTACCCATGTTTTCTATGTACTCAAAAGCTCGAACGGTATTCCATCCTCATGATGTATTAGTCTCT